CTATTAACCCCATTTTTTAGCCCATAAACCCCCATTTTTTTTGTAATTTACCCAATTTTCGCCCGATTCACCCCATTTTTTTTTGTCAATTTACCCAATTTTTGACGGATTCACCCCAATTTTTGGGTGTCCCACCCCCCCAGGGCTGCGGGGGCTGATCAATCAATCCTATTTTGTGTCGATTAACCCCATTTTTTAGCCCACAAACCCCCATTTTTTCTGTAACTTACCCAATTTTCGCCCGATTCACCCCATTTTTTTTGTAATTTACCCAATTTTCGACCGATTCACCCCAATTTTTTCCGTGTCCCCCCCTTCTAGGTCTGAGGGTCTAATCAATTAATCTTCTTTTGTGTCGATTAACTCCATTTTTTAGCCCACAAACCCCTATTTTTTTCTGTAACTTACCCAATTTTCGCCCGATTCACCCCATTTTTTTTTTGCAATTTTCCCAATTTTTGACGGTTTCCCCCCAATTTTCGGGTGTCCCACCCCCCCAGGGCTGCGGGGGCTGATGCTGGCGGTGGTCCTGGCGGCGCTGATGTCCTCCCTCGCCTCCATCTTCGCCAGCTCCGCCGCCCTCTTCACCTTCGACGTCTACCAGAGGCTCCGCCCACGGGCGGGGCCACGTCACCTGCTCGTCGTCGGCAGGTGGGACACGCCCACCCCCCCTAATTAGCTTAATTAGCAACCATGAACTTCGTCACTGACCCCATAATTGTTATTAGTGACCTGTTAATTGTTATTAATTTCATTAGCGACCCAATGATTGTAATTAGGGGCTCATCAGTCGTCATTAATTTGGGTCATTAATGTCATTAACAACCTATTAATTAGGGGCTCATTAATTGTCATTAGCAGCCCAATTAGTTGGGTTATTAATTGTCATTAGCGACCTATTAATGTCATTAACAGCCTATTAATTACTGGCTCATTAATTGTCATTAGCGGTCCATTATTTTGGGTTATTAATGACCCAATAATTGTAATTAGGGGCTCATCAGTCGTCATTAATTTGGGTTAATAATTGCCCTTAGTGACCTAATAATGTCATTAACAACCTATTAATTAGGGGCTCATTAATTGTCATTAGCAGCCCAATTAGTTGGGTTATTAATTGTCATTAGCGACCTATTAATGTCATTAACGACCTATTAATTAGGGGCTCATTAATTGTCATTAGCAGCCCAATTAGTTGGGTTATTAATTGTCATTAGCGACCTATTAATGTCATTAACAGCCTATTAATTACTGGCTCATTAATTGTCATTAGAGGTCCATTATTTTGGGTTATTAATTGTCATTAGTGGCCTATTAATTGCTACTACTGTCCCATTAATTGTCATTAGTGACCTATTAATGTCATTAACGACCTATTAATTAGGGCCTCATTAATTGTCATTAGCGGCTAATTAATTTGAGTTATTGTCGTTAATGACCTATTAATTGTTACTACTGTCCCATTAATTGTCATTAGTGACCTATTAATGTCATTAACAGCCTATTAATTACTGGCTCATTAATTGTCATTAGCGGTCCATTAATTTGGGTTATTAGTGACCCAATAATTGTAATTAGGGGCTCATCAGTCGTCATTAATTTGGGTTATTAATTGTTATTAGTAACCTATTAATTGTTATTAATTTCATTAGCGACCCAATGGTTGTAATTAGCGGCCAATCAGCTCATTAATTTGGGTTATTAATTGTCATTATTAACCTATTAATGTCATTAACAACCTATTAATTGTGTTTGGGGGTCTATCCATTTTATTAGGGGCTCATTAATTGTCATTAGTGACCCAATAATTTAATTAGTGGCCCATTAATTGTTATTAGGGGGCTATTAATCGTTATTAGTGATCCATTAGTTTAATCAGTGACCCATAAATGA